TATCATATGAGAAAGGAAGAAGAAAAGAGAGAATTATAAAGAAAAGGAGAGGAAAGAAAAGAGATGGGGTAAATGAATGAGGAAGTGATATGGTATTTATAGAGATCAGCGAGATGTTTCTAGCGGTTTGTTACAATTAGCAGCGGTTTAATTCATTTTATAGCGGTTTGGCATTTCTAGCGGTTTTATAACCGCTACAAATTATAATTTTTTAATTTTTAAAAAACTGAACCAATTTTATTTTCTACATATTTATTTATGAAAAACAAATTATATGAATGATAAAAATTATTAAAACTGCTATTCTTGATCATCATCTTGCCTGAAAAGATATATTAAAAAATTATTGTTAGAATTATAATATATTTAGAAAAAAATCAGTAATTAGTAGTTAATTATTTAAATAATTTTTTTAAAAATATACCTGATAATAGCCAAATTATCATCTCCTCGAGGAAAGAAGTTTTCAAAATTCGTGGGTTGGAAGGATTCGTTGTCGTAAATAATTTCACCATCACCCATATCATAAAGATCTCATGACTTGAGGTAAACGATCATATTCCAGTCTTTATGTTTCTTGTCCTCGACATAGTAAACCCAGTGTGCCTTAGAAGCAAGAATATATAGCCCATCATCTTTAGATTCCCCTGTATGAATGAGTCTAGAGAAATTAACAAAGGTGATGCCCAAGTGGTCAATAGTGAGTCTCCGTGAAATTATCGTATTTGCCCAGGAGTACTTGAACAGAGCTACGGTGAAAAGTTGGTAACTTAACTCAACGATCTCAATTAGCTTTTCATAGTAAGTGACGCCTCCAAAGCGCATATTGCCGTCACTGTTGCTAGCATAACATCTCGTCCCGAATGTCCCGCAAACTCCATAGTTTTGTGTGAGCAATCCCTGATCACGTCCAACCGTACAGAAGTTGAACCTGTTGACATTATACGCGGTAAACCTTCGTGCATGGTCTAACAGATCGAGAGAAAGAGATTTGAATTCATCTGTATATAGGCTGTTGTCATTATGTATTTGACAACCGGAAAACTCTCTGTGGACTTTTTTTTATCAATGTCAGCAGAACGCGCACGCTCTCATAACTACCGCCTGAGGTAATTTCTAAACTTACTACAATGAAGTGTAATTTGTTAGAAGAGTCAGTGAGAAACAAATATAAAGTGTGAAAGTTAGTGAGCTTATATAATACTTATCGCATGGAAGGTTTAACTTGGCTGCAATTTATGAAAACATGTCAGTGTGCCTGGAGTTTCTCTGTGGGAGTGAGTTTGAAGAATTCATGTCCTCTAACTGGTTTCCCGGTAGGAGGAAATAAAGTTAACATAGAAGGACCAGGAGGATAATCATCTACGTGACGCGGGCAGTTAAAAGATGTCTCTATGTCATCAAAGTACCCTGAACAGAAAGCTAAGACCTCGTCTCTGGAATAACCTTCTGCTATTGACCCCTCATGCCACGCCTTATTTCTAACATATGATTTTAATTTTTCTAAATACTTGCAGGTTAATATTCTATTAATAATTATGAGTAATTGAAATAACAATGTCAAATTTAAAGAGGCAGGGGTAAAAGATAATCTAGTACCTCTCTATAAGGTACATTTATTGATATTGAATTGAGCCAGCAACCTTTTGCTTCTCGAACAAGGTGGATAGTCAAGTGAACCATGACAGTGAAAAATGATGGAGGAAATATCACCTCCAAGTGACAAAGTGTACGAATTATTTTATTTTGCAGTTGATCGAGCTCTTCCGGTATTAAGACCTTTGCACACAACTTCTTGAAAAATGAACACAATTCCATCAAAACCACTGATACATCAGAAGGAAGTGCGTTTCTCAAAGCCAATGGAAATAACTGTTGCTTAAGAACATGGGAGTCATGACTTTTTAACCCAGTAACCTTTCAAGCCTGCAGATTGATACACCTCGAGATGTTGTTAGAATATCCATAAGAACTTTTATATTCTTCAGGGTCGAAAGGAAGATATCCTTGTTCTACTTTGTCAGGGTCAATTTAGCTGGTTAAAACTTGTCATTTTCATCAGGCCAAGCCTCTTCACGAATTTCCTAGGCCCGTAAATCTTTTCTAGCTACGAGATGATCTTTGGACTTTCCAGCTTCGTTGAGCAACGTATATAGCACATTATCGCATATATGTTTTTCAATGTGCATAACATCTAAACTGTATCGTAACAAATTAGATTCCCAATAAAGAAGGGTAAAAAATATGCTTCTCTTCCACCATTATATAGGTTATGCATTAGATGTTCCACGAGACCATTGTCCCAGTCGTTCGGGATCCACATTCTTGCCAAACTTGACATCAGTATTTTCTAATTGCTGTAAAATATCCACATCAGACAAAGTAACAGGAGGGTCTCTCTTTTCTTATTTTCCATCAAAGCAAATTTGTTGCAATTAAATCTATACTTGGAATCGAGGAACCGTCAATGTCCTATGAAGCACCACTTGCGACTGTGTGCAAGGTGACATGATACGGCATCAAAATTGCACTCAGGACAGGACAGGCCAACCCAATATGCACGTTCTAGCCGGACAAAGTTCCCAAACAGGAAAATCACTTATTGTCCACATCAAAGTTGCACAAGGATTGAATAGTCGCTTGTCATATGAGTCATATGTCTCAACACCATTTGTCTACAGGTCGATTAATTCGTATATTAATGGTTGCATGTACACGTCTATATCATTTCTCGGTGCCTTCTTGCCAGGAATGGTCATGGAAAGCAAAAATGAGCTTTGTTTCATGTACATCTAAGGTGGGAGATTGTATGGAATTAACACCACTAGCCAGATACTATAGCTTGTGCTCATATTTTCGAAAGGATTAAAACCATCGGTTGCCAACACAAGATGTACATTTCTAGGGTCACCCACAAAGTCTGAAAATTTCACGTTAAACGTTTTCCATGCAAAGTCTATTATAAAAAAATATTTTTATTAACTCTAACTAAACCAGACTATTAAACTCAATATAAAAATATAATAAAACAAATAAAATAAAAAATAAAAACAAAAATAATTTATAAATAAATTTCTATTCTCATCTGAAAATATAGAATACTATCTGGATCTGGATATAGCTTGTGAAGAAAATTTGGCAGAGCTTTGCTGCACAATTCGCCAAAACTGTGCAAATGAGTTGGAGGGGGTATACATAGGCGGTGATTTTCTATCGGTTCTACAAAAACCGCTAGAAATTTGTAGCGCTGCCCCTCCGCCTCCACCCACATGCAGCCACGCATCAAGCCTCCTTGGGAAAATGAAAAATTTCTAGCGGTTTAAATGAAAACTGCTAGAAAATTTGCTAGCAGTTATGTAACCGCTAGAAAATGTAACGACGATTTGCATTCTCTAACAGTTCCAGCAACAAAACTGCTAGAAATTAAATGCTAGAAATATGGCACCAACTTCGCACCAAATGGCGGCAACAGTTGTTGCTGTCACTTTCTAGCTGTTGGTTCAAAACTGCTAGAAATGTGTGGGTCTCACTCACTTTCTAGTCAAAGCGTTTCAGATTTTTTGCGGTTTGTGTTATAACCGCTAGAAATGTCTACTTTTGTAGCGGTTTTTTTTAACCGCTACAAATAGACTGCTGGTAATTTACTATCTTTTTGTAGTGTTACCCAGCTTTCCTTCGGGTCTTAACACCATAATAAGCTCCACAAGATCGTTATAATTAGTTAATTAGTCTTCTAATCCTTAATATATGACCTAATTATTGAGTCGATTTTAATTCCAAATATAAGACCTATTTATCAATATTTATCAATTTTTCCTAAATTACCCTTATGAATACTCCCTCAACCATAATCAAGTAGAAGAGGGAGGAATTAAAAAAATAACTAAATAGGTTTTATAATAAGTATTAGATGATGAGTAATTAATTATACTGCTGGTAAAAAAAAAAAGTACAAAAGTGCATCTGAGAAGCGCCCACCATTTCCGCATCAGAAGTGACCAGCGTCAAGTAACGTACGGTCCATACTTTTTTTGAGTAGGATGTTATCGCTAACTCAGGGTATCCCAGCATATCGGCCAGACTAATCCCAAGGTGCCTCGCCAGGAATTGAGCCCATGACTCGGTAGGAGAACGCGCCTTGCGCCCCCGTTTGCGACCAGTCGGACCCAACCCTTGCAGGTAGGGGTGTGCATGGACCAGACTGGACCGGGTTTGTTATCAACCCGAAGTCTGGTCCAGTAAAGACCTCGAGCTGAAAAAAACAGCCCGAGGTCTGGTCCAGTCCAGTGCCAACCCGAGGTCGGGTTGGACTAGACTTGGTCCTCTGGACTGCCTGGACTAGTCGAGGCAGTCCAGACTTAAATTTATTTTTTTAAAAAAAAAAATTTCTTTCAATAGGAGGGAAGATTGTGACTTACTATATAAAATTTTGCACATATTTGAATCCAAAGTTTATCAAATTTGATCATTCCTTTTCAATTTCCCAATGAAGTCATGTTTTATTAATTAATCCTCATCAATATAGATATTAAATTGTAGAAAATATATATGCATGCTTATTACTTAGAAAGTTAATAGATAAATCTTGATTATTTGAATAGATAAAAAATTTATATAGAAAAATTAAATCAAATTAAAATTATATAAATAATAATTTAAAAAAACCAGGCTAAACTGGACTGGACCAATTGGTCTGAGGGGCCAGTCCCTAGTCCAGTCCAACCCGATGAGACCAGTCCGGTCCAGTCCGGTCCAGTCTTATTTCGGGTCAATTTTTTCTGGACCAGACTGGACCAGGTTTGCTCAGGTTGGACCAAACCATACCAGACCACCGGGTTTTTGCACAGCCCTACTTGCACGCCGTACGGTCCATACTTTCGTCCCTGAGATGAGATGAACGGGTACGGCCTGCTTATGGGCCCCATCCAAAGCCGTCGCCGCATTCAGTTGCGCTGCGCCTCCTCTCTCTTTCCCGTTTCTTTTGTTGAATTATTTTTAGTCGTCATATCGTCGGCTCCTCCTCAGCCGACCGGACGCAACTTGTCTCAAAAACTATCGCTATAAATATACATTCCGCCCACTCCAGGCCCAACTATCCGCTTCTCCTCTTTTCTTTCTTGTCTTCTTCAATGGGCTTCTTCCAGTTATCCTCTCTTTCCCGTTCCACCGCCGGCAAATGGCTCGGCCTCGTCACTGCCGTCTGGATTCAATCTATTTGCGGCAACGACTACACTTTCTCCAACTACTCCCGTGCCCTCAAATCCCTTATGCATCTCACCCAGATCGAGCTCAACAATCTCTCCGTCGCCAAAGATGTGGGCAAGGCCTTTGGACTCCTCGCCGGCCTCGCTTCCGACCGTTTTCCTACTTGGGCCATCCTCCTCATCGGTTCCCTTGAAGGTCTCCTCGGTTACGGCGTCCAGTGGCTCGTCGTTAGTCAAAGGATCCAACCCCTTCCCTACTGGCAGGTAATGAATACGCTCAGTCCAATTCCCTATGCAACTGCCATGGGCGCCTCATCATCAACTCATTGTCTCCGGGAAAGCTCCATTTTTATGTCTTATGCATCATAAATGAATCTTTGTGTGCCGAGCGACTTTACATTCTGTAATTAACTTTTACTGCTTCTGTATAGATGTGCATATTTTTGTGCTTGGGAGGGAATAGCACGACTTGGTTGAACACGGCAGTGTTAGTGACGTGCATACGAAATTTTCGAAAAAACAGAGGGCCGGTTTCTGGCATTCTGAAAGGATTTGTTGGGTTAAGCACCGGGATATTCACAGATCTCTGTTCTGCTCTGTTTGCTGACGATCCCTCTTCCTTCCTCGTTATGCTCTCCTTAATTCCCTTCGCCGTCTGCCTCACCGGCATCTTTTTCCTCCGCGAGTCTCCCCCTGCTTCTACAGCAGCCGAGAGCGAAGAAGAATCCAAGTATTTCGGCATACTGAACGGCCTCGCAGTCATCGTCGCCGTTTATTTATTGATTTTTGGATTCATACCCGACCCCAGCACGCTCGTGTCTCGAGTGTTCGCCGGTGGTCAACTAGTTCTGTTGACGTCGCCGTTGGTCATTCCTTTACATTCATACTTCAAAGGCTTGCCGATTCTGGATATTGAAGAAGAGGGGAAGGAACCGTTGCTTCAGAATGAGGAGAAGGTGAGAGAAGAGGCGGGGGCGGAGGTGGTTGTGAGGAGGAGGAGGAGGCCAGTGGTGGGAGAGGAACACACGATAGCAGAGGCGCTGAGCACGATGGATTTTTGGATTTTGTTTGTGTCGTTTCTGTGCGGGGTTGGAACGGGTCTGGCGGTGATGAACAATATGGGTCAAATCGGGTTGGCACTCGGATACTCCGACGTCTCCATATTTGTGGCGCTTACAAGTATTTGGGGTTTCTTCGGGCGGATCATATCGGGTTCGGTTTCCGAATACTTCATCCAGTAAGTAACCGTCCTTCGCTTACCTCAAGTCAATCCAGACGGTCCAATTTCCATAACACACGCTTTCTTGCTCGTATAAAACAAAAAATGGGATTTCGGCCAAAAAAATAAATAACAAAAAGGGATGGTCTCTAATTCGTATCAAGCATTAAGCGTTACCTATTTATATGAAAGGATGGTTCTTATGCAGTTGAGCTCCCTCCAAATCATCTAATTATATTGATATAGGTACAGTATAGTACTCCTCCGTCCTAAATATAAAACCTATTTACAATTACACTATAAAATAAGTTTTATATTTAGGATACATTACAAAATAGGTTTTATATTTAGGACCGGAAGAGTATAACATAATTTTTTCATTAAAAGTTTATGCAATTTATAAATAATAAACTTCCCTCGAACTTATAAGAATCCCCGTAGCAGCGTCCTGCCGAGCCACCATGGATTCGGCTGCATACAGCTGATTTTCACAAGAGGCTTGATTTGTTGAGATTAAATTCACAAGCCCAGCTTATATTTGCCGATCAAATCTTGATATAATAGGTTTTTTTTTTTAACCAATGTATTGGGTGCATGTAACTTTTTGATTTACAGAACCTCAGATATTTTTTAGATTTTTTGTTTTTGGAAGAATGACAGCTAAGAACCTTTGAATCAGTATTTTTCGAAAAATTTCCAAAATTGAAATATAGGAAAATGAGTGCTGAATTTGGGGAATATCAATTATAATAAGGTCCTGATATATCATTCTCCCCAATTTTCCCAATCATATACAAAGGTTTAAGATGAGCTAGAGTTATGACGGCTTCCTACGATATTTTGGAGTCTGCAGCACCGCATACAGGCATGTTTCCTTTCTGTCTTTATGGGTGTTGACTTTCGTACATTCTGCCCTTTCTCATAGTTTTATTATAAATATAGAAGAAAAAATATCCCTCCGATCGATTCCTAAATTAAGTATTTTCTGAATCTTCCGCACTACATGTGATTTAAGATAAAAGATTTCATAGGACTTTTTTAATACCAAAGAAAACCAAGGCGTAAGTAAGGAAGTTAGGTAAAAAGATGGGACGTCAAGTGGAAAATGACAGCTGAATCTAACCCAACGTGTTAGTCAAAATTGTAAACATAGTTGACGTGAAATGGATGGGGCTCGTGTGTGGACAGGAAAGCGGCAACACCCAGACCTCTATGGAACGCGGCGTCTCAGATCCTGATGGGCGTAGGATACATACTCATGGCCACCGCCGTGCCTGGTTCCCTCTATGTTGGCTCTATGGTGGTTGGCATTTGCTATGGAGTGCGTCTGGCCGTGACGGTCCCTACAGCTTCTGAACTATTTGGACTCAAATACTACGGTCTCATGTACAACATCCTCATCCTCAATCTTCCCCTCGGATCTTTCCTCTTCTCCGGCCTCCTCGCCGGCATATTATACGATATGGAGGCTACTGCCGTCGCAGGAGGCGGCAACACCTGCGTCGGAGCCCACTGTTACAGGCTTGTCTTCATAATCATGGCCGCCGCATGCATTGTCGGGTTCTTGTTGGACATTTTGTTGTCCTTCAGAACCAAGAATGTTTACAAAAAGATTTCAGCCAGCGAAAATATTAGATAGCCAGCGAGTACGAAGATGGCTCGAGAGTAATAGGATCGATGGGCTTTTTGCTCGGTGATACCCTGATTTCTTCACGCCAAAGTTAGCTTATTCCTGCATTGTCCACTTCTCATGTATCCTCGGTTGGTTCTATTGGCAAAAAAATTAGCCGCAATAAGTCAGCGTTGTTGCTGTTGTTGATGATGAGTCATTTTTTTAGTAATATTTAAAACAAAATGCTGTTTCGTGCTGGACACAAGATCGGAAGCGTGCCTATATTTAGCACTGTAATCTGGGATTTTCCCTCTGCCTATAGAGATTTCCTTATATTTAAGACGTCTTAGGGTGTGTTTGGATGAAACCAAACCATGGTTTGGAGAATAGTTTTTAGAGAATAGATTCTGTGAAGAATAGATTTTGTAAAAAAATGATTCTGAGAAGTAAGAGTGTTTGGATAGCTGTTATCAGAAGTACTTTTTATATATACAAATTACTAAAAAAAAACATAAGTTAATATGATAATTATATAAAAGATAAATTTTATGATATATTTTAATTTGAAGGAATAAAATTGTTAATAGTATATTTTTTACCAACATAATTAATAATACATAGGATAATGTAATTAATAAATAATTAATATGTGTATATATGTTTATAAGATATAAGGTTAAATATGTTTATAAAAAAATAATTGAGAAATGTTAAAATCATATTATTGTTGAGATCTACTCTGACAAGCACAATCATCTCTCCAATTTGAGCCCGAAGCAGAATGAATTCACTTCTCTTGAAACCAGGGTTTCAGATTATTGGCCTAAAATTGATGTTGTTTGGGTGACATCTCACCAAAACCATGGTTTTGCCTCCCAAACCATTGTTTTGAGGGTCACCCAAACAGGCCCTTAGTCAGATAAAGTGAGCACAACCTCGTTAGTTCAAGGACTCTCTTCTCTGCCCCCAACACAATTCCCAACCCCCCCCCTCCCAGGACAAAAAAAAGAAGGCCATTCTCTTTTTAAAATATGTATGACGAAGGGGTCGTCCTCTTCATGCCTGTTGCTTATCACAATTCAAAAGCGTTTTTTCCACATCCATCTGTCCCCTGAGGGAGCTCCCATGCGACCAAGTAATTAATGCAATCATGGAAGCTTCATTGTAACGCTTTCTACTTTTTCTTTAAAAAAGAAAATCGTGCAGATGTATTCTTCTTCCGGTGAAGGTAATTCTGTTTGAGTCATTGTAGTTGGGTATTATACTGTATGTGAGCATCTCTCTAAGGTTTACTACAATAGTTTCTACTTATTAAGAGTCTACTACCGGGGGAAACAAAAAGAAGGAAAAGCATGATTTGGGGTCGCAGGAAACGAATCATAAATTCCCAAGACCAAACCCCTCCCCCCAAAAAAAACCCGAAGAAATGGGCCTTTTGTTCTTAGGCCATCTCTCCGTAATCGATCCAACTACTTCCAACTGGGCTTGGGAGGATGAGTGGATGACTTGCTTTGAATTAGTTAGATACGAATTAATTGGGCCTTGCTACTATATCATTAGGATCCTCATATGTACCCGCCGTTATTAATCCAGCTTCGCGATGGGAAAAAACCGATCCAAATGTATAAACTAGGGAAGATCAAATGGAGGGGAAGACTACAGAGTAGCTCAGGATGGATAATGCCGAAGGAAGCAATGGTATTTGTCCGTCTTGGTTTGGTAAATTTATAAACGACGTTGAGAAATCGTGCGCGACTGGTAAGTTAATAATCAATGAAAAGATAAGCCAAAGTAGTAAAATTTGCCACCTGCAAAGCATTATAGAGTATCTACACATCCACACACAAAAACACAGGCTGGTAATATAATGGTCACTTAAGTAACAGTCACATGGAGCTTTATGTTTCACGTAGAGCCATGTGATCCAGCCTACCACGGGTCTCTGTTCAGAATTCTCCTGTTGCCTTGTGATACCACCTCTCATTGTCATTAACCTCTAAAAACTTAAAGGTACACTTTTCTTTACGAGTAAGAATAGGTCAAAGATAGGACAACCACAGGGGCCTTTGTACATATATGCCAAACCATTCCCTTTCACCACAGTCTGGACTTGTTAATTCATCGTTTTCACTGTTCCAGAAGGAAAGTGACCACCCTCAACTTCCAAAGTCCTACACATGGGAAATATCATTCCATTCTTTGGCTTAGTTCTCTTCGTCTGTGCTTCCTTGGTTTCCACTTCATACGGTTCTCTTTCCCTTTTCCCTCTAATTTCAGTGTCAACTAATGAGTTGACTGGGATTCCCAGTGTGTGATGTTATTTTGTGTTCTGCATTGCAGATGGACCCATTTATGACTCCACAGCGTGCACAGAGGTAAGATGAGTGGATCAGCCCTTTATGCAATCTATAGAAATGGGACAAACCATGTGATGGATGCAAACTTGGCATGGAATTAAGGCAGTTTTGTTTTGGATTGGTGCTGAATATGTGTGCTCTTATCATAAAAGCGGGGCCAATATGAGAAGAGGCTTCGTAATTAGAGGACTAACCGTGGAGGGCTTATGTATATGAATAAGCAATAACATCAGCTGGCGGGGCTGGTGGGTGTTTAGTTGTTGTCTTCAAGTCACGTCAAAGCCCTCCCCGCCCACCAACCCCACCGTCTGTCTCACCCCATATCTCCATAATTATTTTGATCCATCATCCATAATTTATCTCTTTAATTAAACAGTTGATCACTCCTTGTGATGTTGTTAACAAGAATGAACTGGCCGGTTTTCACAGAGGAGGCTTTCCCTCCATGGCGGCCTGCCGGAGGCCTCGGAAACCCAAGCGGGGGCAAATAGGTACGTGACTACGAAGTAGAGGCTTCAATTTGATATTTGTGAGTACCATGAGGAGATGGTAATTGTTGATAGTGAAGCCGGGGGACCAAAATTGGGAGAAAGGGAAAGGTAAGATGCAAAGAGAAGGCCCACACGAGGGACACAGCGCACTGGATAATGAGGACAGAGACAAATAAATGAAAAGTGGAAGCCACGCAGGGGCCGTAGATCCAAAGATATTTTCTATTGTTCCTATTTTTGTTTGGTTTGATTGGTGAGGCTGTAGATCAGATCAAACTACGACTCACATGTTGCTGGATTTTTTTAATGATTGGCGCCTCACAACACCTGCATAACACTACTGTGTTCTTTCACTCATGACTTCCACTGATTAGTGATCCAATTCCCTTCCCAAATTCTGGAAAACCAAAAACAAACGTTTTCCACTGTCTAAATGTTAGTACTTCATTTTGTTGGATCACCAAAAGTCAGCCCCATACTTAAAAATTGGAGCATTACCCACTTAACCCCCTCCTCCCCCCCCCCAAAAAAAAAAAAAAATATGACATAATCTTTTTGAAATATTCCTACATAATATTAGTTTGTATAATATATATGTATACGTATATATCAAAATGTAAGTTATAGAAGTTGATTTTAAAAAAATGATAAATTAAGAACTAAATTCAAACCTAGCTAATTCTTATACTCCATTCAGTCCTTTTTATACATTCATCACAAGACACAAACAGCTGGAGGCTCATTGTCTGCTATAGAAGTAACTATTTCTGATTTTTCAAAATTTTGTAACAGCTCCCGGCCACATGCATGAATGATGCAGCCATCCATTTTATATATATATTTTTATTTTTAATATTTTATATCCTATCCTCCTAGACGCTTATTTTTTAGTAACTTGACAGTGAAAGGCCAAAAAATATTTCACGTCGTGCAACGGGGTGTTCGGAAGCGGAGCATCGCCGGGAAACCCAGGGAAGGTGTTGCTGGACCGTCGGAATTTCGGATCATTCAACGTGTATGGCGTGGCACGCCACAAGTTCTTGATCCCCGGCGTGTGGGACCCCAGAACCCAGTCGTGCTGGACTCCTCAGTAATTTAGTTATGTTCCCGCCCTTCCTCACATGTATGATTCTTTAATTTTTTTTTTTTTTTTGAAAAAAATTCATCTGATGCGGACAACTTTATTAGGAGATGGCAAGCAATGGGGCCAACGCGATAGCAAGAATACGTATACATGTACATTTCAAATGGTTCACCCCCCATTTCTGTGACATTTTTAAGTTTTAACAATAAATAGCATGCCTCATCGCCTGTTATGAGCTCTTTTGTTCACCATTCATTAATGAATCTAGAGAGAGAATAGCATTGCTGACTGCTCATCATTTAAAAGGCAGTGCGGTTTCCTATAATAACATCGTAGATAAGTATGTGTAGCTCATTGTCATGATGAAATTTATTATAAATTCATAAATAATGCATAATAGCGTCCACCAATTTAAATCGATTGTTCTGGGCCTCCCGCCGGCAAAAAGAAAAGGGCTTTGTGGAAGGGCTAATGAAGAGAGTACGTAGGCGTGAGACCGATGGAAAGATTGGGTTTGTGCGGCGCACACACAATGAGATTTTCCGTCTGCAAAATGATTATGAGCATGTCTCCTTAGTATGCTCCATTGTTTGTACATACTAGAACCCAGAGTCAGCTAGTGTGATTAATTAAACGCACTTGACATCACAATTTAGATTGTTAATTAATGCTGATGCTAATATAATCTTTGGTAATACTATCTCTAATCCTAATTATAAGAGCTGGTTAACTAATTTAAGGAGATTAAGAAAATAAGTTAAATTAGTTATTTGTAATAAATATGTGTTGCCTTTCTTAAAACATTCTTAATAATCAAGTGTATTGGTTAGAACTACCATTATTAGAAGGACTGTCTTGAAAAAAAAATGCATAATATGAGAGACAAAAAGGATTGAGATTTTATATTTATGATCAAAATAAAAGTCAAACAATATCTTATATTAAGTACCGGAGGTAGTATGTTGTCTTCACATGCATAGTGTTCGTTGGGTAGTCAGGATGACGCGCATTATGTGAATGAACAATTTTACAGGATGGGTGAGTGTGCTTGATTTAGTCCAGACAAGGCGGGAGAACCATGCATATTAGTTGATG